TTTAGGAGGAAATAGGATGAAAAAATATTTGGAACCTTAGTGCTTTAATAAATGATTTTCCTGCATTTTGGCATATTATGTGTAGCAACCAGCAAGACAAACAGACTACAGCCTAAAAAGTGCAGATAAATAGATTATCTCATATGGCACTGTGTATTGTACGTGCAAAACTAGCTGTAAATATTTAGATAATGTAAATTCAAATGTTTATGGACAGATTCTTTTTCTTATACTTTGTGTGCATTGTGACGATGAGGGACAATAGTTAACATCTGGTTTATTCAGGGAAGAGGTTGTTTCTTTGGTTAAAAGGGAATAAAATTGAAGTTAATTCTGATACTAAGTTATTAATGCACTTATGTATCACCTTGTCAGGGTAAAGCATATTTGAAATCAGTGAAAATACAGACTGTTAATTTTGGGACAGTTCTGTACTCTACTAAAGTGAACAAAAATCAAATCTCCTCGTCTCAAAGGAGTTTCTCTCTTTTCTAGGGAAAGCCTCAAAAGGGAGATGGGTAGGTGGCAGCTAAGCAGAACATCCTGCTAAATTATTCAAAAGCTGCAACATATGTCTAGCTCTTGGTATGTGCTGTTGGGTATGATCTGCTGTTTCATGTGACTGCTTGCCTACTTATTTTCCAATATTTGGTTCATTTTTCATAAATCCTGTCAATGTTATTAAGCATTTGTAGTTAGCAGTAAATATTATCATCTTTGAAGGTTGCTGTACTTATGAGCTCTCTGTGGAGCTGTATTGGAGCTTAGCTGTTTGGCTGCTTGTCATAATGACATAAGAAAATAATGAGCAGAATTAATTTATGTCTTTATGTTCTGGCCTCAGTGGAGTTAGACTAAAAGATGTTTTGGTCGGATGGGTTTCAGATAAGCATTCAGGATGGGCCCTTTGTTTGAACAACCAACCACAAGCGCTCAGCACAATGGAACAATGATTTATTTAACTAAGGTAATCATTTGCATGTTTGAGAGATCACAGCTGCTAAAATGCATTCTTCACTGTTTTGTGATGCTCACCTATGTACGGAGGCACCATTAACATTGAGATGAAATTAAGGATGTTCAGATGTGTAGGAGAGCCTCTGGTTGTTGGTGCACTTCTGGCTTTGTGCTTGAGTACAGTACTGCCCATGAGCTGGAGTGTAGTCAAGCTCCACTCCGTCATGCATCCATTTTTTTTTTCATTAGCATGAAAATGTGAAGCAGAAGAAAGCCTTATACATGTTTAAGTCCCTTCCCTGAATGCTTTAGCATGGCTCTGTGGCCTTCAGGGTATGAAGAAAGCTGTGCATGAGAGCGTGCAGTGTCAGTGGGAGAGGGTAGAGGAGTAGAACAGATCCAGAGGGATCTGGTCCGTAAGGGCCCATACTCTGCCCTGGTTTACATCTGTGCATCTTCCATTGACTTCAACAGGCACTTCTTGCAGTTATCTCATCATGTGACTGCAGGTTTCAGATGCAAAAATTCTGCATTCTTCTGGAGCCAAATATCATTTACAAGAGGCAAATAGAAGCACAAAACCAGCACAAGGAAGATGTCTCAGTCCATAAGATGAAAATTAATTTCTGTGACTCTGAGATAAACAGATTTTCCTCTTCTAGTAATTGGATAGAAAATTTCTGTTGCAAAATTATGATTTTGTCATGTGCTACACAAGAAGCTTCTCTTATCCTTCATAAAAGGTTTATATTTCACTATTTTTTCTCTTCCTCTCCTCCCACAACATAGTCAAAAGCCCAGAACAATGCTTCCTCTCTGGTCCAGTGATAAATATATCATTTTTGAAAAGCAGTGCTAACTCCTTTATGGTACCATTTTTCATGTTCTGATATTAATCTGTCATCACTTTTTGTAACATGGGTGCAAAGTTAGCATATTTTCCTACTGTGTTTTTTTCTTTAAAAAGCCCATACTTATCAGAATTTCACTCCATGCTGAAGGTTCATCTACAATCTTGAAGTAGATGGAGAGTGTAAACTTTGAAAAGTGGAAAAGGTTCCAGGAAACCAAACTAAGATTAGCCCAAAGTAAAATCATCAAGTACTTCTGTTTACTGATCCATTTCACTTCCACCCAGTCATTTACTAGTGAGCAGGACTCCACGGTTTTCTTCTGAATTACTTTCAGCTGTCCATATTTCAGTTTCTGAGGAGTACATAATTAACCTGTAGTGAATAATAGGTCAGAACAAGTTATATATACATGTTTGGAGTGCAAGTGAAACTAGTTGTAATCCTCAGTTGCAAAGTTTAGATCCCAAGTTCCTTGGGGTTTTGGAACATTTCCACCTGTGATTTCATGGCTTTGGGGCCCATGTGCATGAGAAGTGCAGACACTGTCTCATCTTTCTTGTAATTCCTCAAGTTGTGCACATTATCCCCTGGCTAATCCTTGTGTATCTCTGATACTTGCATCTGACACTTGAGCTGTCAGAATGTGCACTGGTATTTGTTATTTCACTGTCAGAAGTACATTTTGTTGTGACCACTGCTGTGAAATATTTTTAAAATTGCAAAATAAAGATTACAACACTTGGAGGGGTTTTCCCATTAAAAAAAATAAAAAAAAAAAAAAGAAGGAGTATTCTCTAATGCATTTTCAAGAGGTGCTATTTTTTTAACCAAGTGTATTGGGAAAAAATGCAATTTCAATTTGAAAGGGAAAATTGCAGAAATCTTTCCATCAAAATGACTGGATTCTTATTACAAGTCTAATAACTTTCTGCTGAAAAACTTTACAAAGACACCAAGTAGTACAATATTAAAAAAAAGTTTTGATTCATTGGGAATGGCTCAGTACTGAGAACACTGAAACGTCATACATATTTTCAGACCTGTTTGACGTCTATAAACTTCAGTCTACTGTTGTAGAGGAAGATTTTCTAAGATCTTATCCTAATCTGGCATAAGAACAGATCTCAAAAAGTATAATTTTCTTCATAATAAAAATTTTGTTCTATTCTCATATTTACATAGCCTTACCATTTAGAGGAAATGTTTGATTCATAGTAGTACTTTAATTTTTTTTCCGATACATTTTAATATTTTGTATATAAAAAGGGAATCTATTGCTAACAATTTCTCAGCTATTGAGAAAATTAGAGACATGACTTTTTAAGTCCTGCACTCATGAGTGTATCACTTTCTCTTGGGCTTGCATGGCCTGCTTTTGGTAGCAGGGGAGGAGAAGGGGTGGCTTCTGTGAGAAGCTTCTGGAAGTTTCCACCATGTCCCCCAGAGCCAATCCCTGGCAGCTCCAAAGACGGATGTGCTGCTGGCCAAGGCTGGGGCAATCAAGAATGGTGGTAATGCCTCTGTGATAACAAATTAAAGAAAAAAGAAAAAAAAACAAAAAAACAAGTTATTGCACAGATATCACTGTGGCCAGAGGAGAATGGGGTGAGAACATGTGAGAAGAACAACTCTGCTGACTGCAAGGTCAGTGGAGAAGGAGCAGGAGGAGGTGTTCCAGCCACTGGAGCCGGCAGCCAGTGTTGATGACCATAGTGAGGCCCTGCAGCCCATGGGGACCCACTGGGGTGCAGAGATTCACCTGCAGCCCATGGAGGAGCCCCACGCCAGAACAGGTGGATGCTTGAGAGGAGGCTGTGAACCCAAGGGGAAGCATGGAGAGAGGGGCCCTGTTCCCATGCTGAGGCAGCCTGTCCTTGAAGGCCTGCAGCCTGTGTGAGAGGGACCCATGCTGCAACACTTGGAGGGACACAGTTGCCCATGGGAGGGATTCATGGTACAGCAGTTTTGGAAGGACTCTGTGCCCGTGGGAGGGACTCACAGTGCAGCAGTTTTGGCAGGAGTGCTGCCTGTGGGATGGAGCCACTGTAGAAGTTCACAGAGAACTGTCTCCTGTGGGAGGGACGGTGTGGTGAAGCAGGGGAAGGACTCCTCTCCCTGAGCAGTGGGAGAAGCCTTGGATGATGAACTGACCACAGCCCCCTTGCCCTGTCTCCTTGCACTGCTGGGGCAGGAGGGAAGGGTGGCAGGAAGGTGTTCTTAAGGACTTTACTTCTCATTATTCTGCTCTTTGCTAGTAGTAAACTTAAATCATATCCCCAAGCTGAGCCTATTTTTCCCATGATGGTATTTGATGAACGATTTCTCCCAGTCTGTATTTCAACCCACGAACCCTTCATTAAATTTTCTCTCCCCTGTCCGGCTGCAGAGGGGAGTGCGTGAGCAGCTTTGGTGGGTGCCTGGCATCCAGCCAGCATCAACCCACTATACACTTCCTCAAATATAAACCAGAGCTAGTTAAAAAACTTTTTCCTCTAAGCACTGCCAATTCAATGAAGCCAAAGGTTTTCTTGGGAAATGCATAGCTCTCTAATTAATTTTCAGTGGCAATTGTTCAAGTCTCATTATAACCAAGTTAAAAGTATTCTCTTGACCTTAGCATTCTGATTATATTAAAATAAAATGTTAATGTTGAAATTTTAGATATTTTGAAAAGACTAAGCAAATTAGATATTTTGAAAAGACTAAGCAAAATGTTATTGAATGCTTTCTTTTGCAAATTAATCCTGATTTTTAAACTATTATCCTCAGTTGGAATTAAATAAGGTATTAAAATCTACATTTTCCTGCTAGTAAAAACTTTGTTCTTCAGCTGTCTCTTCTACTTAAGTAAACAGCTATGGTCTTTGGGGAAACTGAAATTTCTAGCTCCATAACAATAGTTTAGTTCTTGAAAAATTTAGGATGATATGTCCAGTGAATAAATTATCATTGTATCTCAACCATTTGAGAAATAACTACAAAAAATACTGTGAAGGTACACCTTTAGAAGGACACACCACTGCCATTTCAGAGACTTCTTCAGAGCAGTAAATATGCAGTGTTTATGAAATGTGGGAGGTGATGGAATATGCGTCAGATTCCCCAGTTATATATGATGGAAGTAATCCAGACTTTCCCTTTTGGCATCTTATGCTATAACTTCTACTTGATTTTCACTTTTTATTCCAGTGCCAACAATATGCCTAAGCAAGTAGAAGTCCGGATGCATGAAAGTCATTTAAATCCAGTGGAGCACAGATCCAGGAACATATGTGTGCAGTTCTGCCAGTCCCTCCACAGGAATCTGCTCCTGACTCTTACTGTGTTTGGTAAGCTACATCTGCTGCTCTGGACACTCTGTGTGTACCTGCATTTGTTCCTGTGGCACCACAGCCCCTGTCTGTGGCCTTCAGGTGTTCCAGCTGAACAGCCAGAGAGTAAATAGGATGCCTATGGGCACTGCTTGTGTAGTTCAGGTGAGCAGGGTATTCCTGACACAACACAGAGCAAATAAATCCACACCACTGAGGTGTCTGGTTTGAAAAGGAGTATGATTTAAGCCTCAGGGCCAGTCAGGTCAGTGTCATCCAGTAGAACTGAATGCGCTAAACTTTTTTTCTATCAGTGATTTGGAGAAAGAAAAACAAAAGACAAAAACTCTTCAAAATTTTCTTTTTATCTCCCAGTTTACACATCACTGGTTTTAAGGTTTGTCTTCCCTTTCTGTAGCTGTAAGCCAGCACTCCATGATCTCATCCTGAATATTGCCTCTGGCTTTAGCAGCTTCCATATATGGAACAGTTTGACATTTTATTGTGGTTCACTGGCTCTTTGCCTGTTTCTTTTTCACTGAAAGCCCAATAGCTATATGCAGTATATTTGTAGACATTCTCTTGTTATTGTTTGAAAAAACAGCTGCAACTGGTCTTGAGCTGCAAATTTCATCCCTGTATTTTCAGCCTGAAATACCCCATGCTGCTGAAGCATTTGCCTTGAATCACCTTTCAAAGGTGTACCCAATGCTGTCTAAGAAAAGTTTTAAATACATATATATTTTTCATTGTATCAAAGAGATACTTCATAGTCATAGTTGCTGCAAATCACAACACAAGTCTTGCTATCTGGTTTTATTACACTTGGGCTTAGGATCAGGAAAAAAAGGCATAATGGATGTAAACACAAAATACCTGTTCACAAAGATCATGTTATGACAGTAGACATAGCAGTTTTTCCCCCTAATCTATGCTTTAACAGCCTCAATCCTGAGCAGAAGGTTTAAGTTTCATCACTTTATCCACATAAATGATGAGGGGTTTGTTTGTGTTTTGAGAACATCAGCACAAGGAGAAAGATGTAGAGCATCAAAAAAAGGAATAAGACATGAGCCGTAAGAATCAAGTTTTCTTCAAAGATATGTGCATTACTCCACATCAGGCAGTTGCTTCCAATACCCACCTGCTCCTTTGTTTGTTCTTCCTCCAGGTGTCATCCTGGGTGCAGTGTGTGGGGGTCTTCTTCGTCTAGCAACACCTATTGACCCTGACATCATCATGTTAATAGCCTTCCCAGGAGATATACTTATGCGGATGCTAAAAATGCTGATCCTCCCTTTAATTATCTCCAGTTTAATCACAGGTAAGATCCATTAGGCATAAGTACTTTAAGATGCTTTCTACAGGCATCACCTGGTTTGCTTTTTGTGATGTAGGAAGAATAATGGTGTGATCCTGTCAGCATTTTGTAGTTGCAGTGAGTATTTCAGAGTAAATTTCTGGATAACTTGGTTGGCTTTAGTATGTATATGCTCCAGTGAATTTATTTCCAAGCATATGCACACATGCTACTATCGGAAATTTCTTTATATGCTTTTTTTATCTAATTTCTGGATTGGACCTTGCAAATAAAATGGCCTGACACTAGTGAGCCTAGCCTTCTTGAAGGTGTGATGTCAGCCAGACCGTGACCAGTTTGTAAAAGTCAAGGGCAAAAGACGGTAGAGGTCTTCTCTATTTTTCCATGTTTCCTCTGCAATTAGGTGGAGTTTTAAATGCTTCTCTTCAAATTATTAGCAGTAGACATAGCACACATAAGAACTAGAGGGAGAAGCATCATTAATCTGTCTCATGGTGAGAATATCACAGGGATGAAAGTAGGCATCCATAAGTAGTCATTAAATGTTGAAAATTACAAAGGATTTTATTTTATAATTATTTGATTGGATACTGAGTGTCAGTATATTTGCTTGTATCTTAAACACCTGCAGGACTGTCTGGATTAGATGCTAAAGCAAGTGGCCGCCTGGGGACAAGAGCCATGGTCTACTACATGTCCACCACTATTATTGCTGCTGTGCTGGGTGTGATTCTGGTTTTAGCCATCCATCCAGGGAATCCAAAACTCAAGAAACAGCTTGGGCAAGGGAAGAAGAATGATGAAGTATCTAGTCTGGATGCCTTCTTGGATTTGATCCGAAATTTGTTCCCTGAAAATCTGGTTCAAGCATGCTTTCAGCAGGTAAGTCTTTCTACTCCTTGGTAATATTCTTTACATCTTGTCAGTGTTGTCTGTAGAGTTAATGTCGTTGTTTAGGTTAATCAAAGAAATGATGATGTAAAGAGGAATACAGGTCTAAAATCTTGAGCAGGTAAATGAAACAACATTATTTATAGGTGCCTTGGTTTATGTTGTAGTTATTATTTAAATTCATAGGGGTGTTTTTAATGAAGTTTATTTTAATTTTGTTGTTAAGTAATCTTTAATTTTCTCCATGCTTTTCATACAGTATCTATGGTCATGAATGCTGGCTTGGTCTTTCACCCAGGTTGAATTTTAACTTGGCTGTTAATTACAGAGATGATGGTTCTGCAATGCTCTGTTTGGAATATATGGATGAACATCATTCCAGCTCGTTGCCAAAAATGTCCCCCAAAACCCAACCTCTCATAACCTCTGTTGCTGTGTTAGAGTCCCGATGAGGTGGGGATAGTAGATCCAAAGGGCTGATGCACCTACAGGTGGCTCCATCTCACCAGCTTTGGAGCATGCTGGGAAGGAAGGATGTTTGTACAATGTGTTGCTTGCCCTGTAGGGAGTTAATTTTGTCTGAAAGCTTTTCACCAGTGCTTAATCAAAACACCTTGACTTTAAGAGGTAAAATATGCTTAAGCATATTTCTTGTACATAAGCTGCTTTTACCTCCAACTGAATTGTTTGAAAGTAATGCAGACAGGGTTTTTTGGCGGTTGGGTTGGTTTTAGGTTTTTTTGATGTAACAAGATTTGTTGCCAAACCTGTTCTTAAGTGTTCCTGTGTGAAATGGCGTGATAGCTGGTGCTGTGGTTAGAGCCAAAGAAAAAAGTAACGAGAAGGGGGGGAAGGGAGAAGGGGCCATGGGAGAGTGGAAGAATGGAGTGTGCCCTAAACTGCCAAAAGGGTTTGGATTGCTTCACTTCTTACATGGACTTCCACATAAAAACATATAATCCTTGGGGATTTAGAGAGAGAACATTCTCAATATTTCCAAATCATCATGGGAATGTCAGTCATGTGGTCAAACTGTTGGTGGCTAAACATCACATGTAATGTGAAATGTACTTTTGTAAAATTGAGTGCAGGAAAGCAGGAAGCTTATGGTTTTTGCTTGCTCTCCCTCGTTTGAACTGTGGAAGAGAGGAAAATTCAGTTTCTTGTCAGTTAAAAGCGGTCAAATATCTTGACAAAGGGGCAAAAGGAGCAGAAAAAAGAAGAATTAAGCTACCCATGTCAGGTTTTTTAAATGTCAGTATTATTTTTTCAGTGTGTGTAATACCAATGTTCAGGTTATTTCACTAGTTATGGATCACTAATTTCACCAATTATTTTTAAATTTAGAAGGAAAAAAAAGAGCTTTTTGACTTTTCAGTGTTTGATTTTAGGAGATTCCAGACTAATTTCTAGTGAAAACCTCTGTCACAATGCCACATTTCATTTGTAAAGTGTGACTAGATGAAATTTTTGCTTCTGTTAGCCCTTAACTCCTCTGTAAGGTGTTAGGCTTTACTTTTCTCTCACTTTAAGAGGAAAATAACCAGCTTTAATGGTGTCAGCGTATATTTTCTTTCCTACATTCATACAGTTTATCTCCATAGACACTCAGATTTTCCAGGTAACCTCAGGTGGAATAAATATATTGCAGAAATACTGCAAAGAGTGGTTCTGAAGTGTGCACAGCAATGGTGGTGAACAGCGTGGGGGGAGGTTTTTTTGCCTTCCATTGCAACCAGGTAAAAGCCAATGAAGGTTCATGTGCAGCTTTGGAACTGTTCATTTGCAAACTGGACTGTGGCTATCAAGAAATTTCAATCTCTCCTGAATTTTCGTATGGTCCACAAGAAAGTTTAAATTTATAATGAAAATTGCTATTCCAGCAGAAAAACCATGGGACCATCTGTGAATATGACTATGACATTTAAATGTTTTTTTTAGTCTCAGATGTGGTCAGAATCTAAGCTTGATGTCAGATTCAGCATTTTTAGAGACTGTGGCCTTGTGCAAAGGACTGCTGAGGACCTTTAACTAGTGACTCTAGGGGAATTTATGAGTGTGAAGAGTCTAATATTTTAAGTTCTATTACTCGGTTCTTACATTCTGAATACCTCACATAAAAAAGTACTCTGTTGACAAAATCCCTCAGATAAAATTTAACTCTGAAAAAAAGACCTGCAAGAATGTTAGGTGGTTTCAGGACAACTGAAGAGTTCCTCATGCAAAGCTATGTAGGTTTTCTGTCTATATTCCCCTCTCCAGATTTAGGCAGCAAGTTTCAGAAGGAGAAATGTAAGGTATTTTAAAACCATAAGGTTTAAACCATATGTATCAAATCTGGATCATCATCCCTAGTACTACGATGTCCATGTCAACAAGAAAGAGGTGCAAATGTTTTTTGAAAAGCTAATGCACAGTTTATGTTATCTTGCTAAGTGTTTCTACGAGCAAGGGGAGTAGGGAGCAGGTGGGAAAACATGGCAAGCCAGTCATAGCTTCCAAACCATTTTGCCTGTCCCAGGACCATGAAGAGGCGGAAAAAGGGTCAAGGTGTGGGAGAAAAACATCCCTTCTAAAAGCAGCAAATCACAGATATCTCTTTTTCCACTCCTCCTCCCTTTTTTCCTAGCTGTAACCTCAAGCTCACTTCTCCTCCTACAACTCCTTCCCAGATTTTCTTTTACCCTGACTTTCGTGTGCCAGGAGAGGGTCCAAATGCATTCAGAAGGTGATGACTCCTTTTTTTTTTTTTTTTTTTTTACATCCCTGAATGAATCTGATGACTCCTTTTTTTTTTTTTTTTAGGTGTTCAGATTTATATCTGGCAGCATTGGTAATTTTTCTGTTATCTATCACCCACCATCTTTTAATTAGAGAGCTCAGGGGACTGTGTATATTCCATTTTGAGCTCTTGCAGTCAAGAGTTCAAAAGCTGTAAATGGTGGAAATCTCCTGAATTTTTGATTCAAGTTAACCATTAAACTGGGATGACTTGAGATGGACAGACTATTCTGAATAACAAGCCTTACTGCAGAGCTGCTGCCATGACTGATCTTAGAGGCACTTGGTTTTTGGTGCTAAACAAATGTTATCAGCCTGTGACACAGTCTGGGAAGCACCCTTTGTGAACTGTCTGGCCAAAGGGACTACCTGTAAAATGTTTCATTGTAGTGATAAAAAACATGCATTTGCCATACTTTTCACACTAGAGTCATGAGGAAGACCCCCAGTACTTTGTAGCAGTTTAAACTGTTGAAAAATAAACTTAGTTCTGGAAGAAGGGTTAAGAGGTTGTGGAATGCATATCTAATCCTTTAAAATATAATATAAAATAATCCTTTAAAATTCCCTGTAATTTTCAGTGAAGACTTTTTATTATTAATTCCTTGTCTACCACATGGATGCATTCAGTCTATTTCCATTCTCATCCTCCCTTTTTATTGCCTTCAGATCCAAACTGTCACCAAGAGAGTGCTGGTGCCACTACCTGTTGAGGAGCCGCCTAATGTCACTGATTCTGCTATTGCTATGGTGAATGAGACAGCACCACCTGAAGCCCAAATGGTAATTAAGAAGGGACTTGAATTTAAGGATGGCATGAATGTCCTGGGTAAGAAAATTTTCTCTCTGTCAAAAATGTACATGATATGTATGTCACAGCTTTTTGCTGTGGCTAGGTAGTCAGTGTTGTCTGATCTGGTCTTCTGTGCACATTTAGTCTCTCCAGAATATCATCAAGTGTTATCACCTACTGGCTGTCTGTTGATCTCTGAGATTTCACAGAAATCAGCAAGTGAATTGTTCTGGCAGCTTTGTGGTTATGAATTGGAGGAGTACAGTGGTAAAGCATGTAGGAGCTACCCAAAATATCCTTTCATCCTAGAAGCAGCTGATCTAGGGTAATGCATATTGGCAAAACAGCATGGGGGAGAGCTTCAAGAGCCAGTGCTTCACACATCCCCTGGTGGATCCAAGTTGTTTCCAGTAGGTGTCTTGGGTGTGCTGAACTAATTTGGCTTGCGGCAGAGCCTGAAGTGAGAGGTGGAGTGTGAACCACACCACCCAAGAAAAATTCCAGAAAGGCTTGACACATTTCTGAGTCACAACTCCCTCCTTCTTTCATCTTGGCTGCTGACCTTTACAGCTGCAATTGCCATCATGCCATCTTGTCTGGACAAGCCAGCAAGTGGAGGTGGTAGGAAAACATTGCCTATCTCTTACCTTTTCCTGAAGCAACTGTTCAGTCTGGGATGGGGGCATGCGAGAAACAAACTGCTTCCACACCACTTCTATTTTTTCTTCTGTGTCTAGAGTCCCTATTTTTTCATCTGAGAGAGGAGTGCTCCTCCTTCAACTCCTTCCTTTCTGTATGTGGGTGAAGTCACAGATTAGCTCTCAATTTGTAGCCTCCCACCTACACTTGAAGATGCTCTGTGACAGCACCAAGGCTGAGGCTGACACCTCTCTGTCTACAGGTGTCCACAAAGTGGGACAGTATGTTGGGGTACCTAACCCCCTGCTTTCTCTCAACACTAGGCCATAATCTTTGAAGGGAAAATGGCCTCTTACAGCTGCTGAACAGCTCTTACTGACACAGTGCTGTCTGCAGGCCTTCCTGAGGTGTTGGTGAGTTGGTTGGCTGCTTTGCTTAGATACAGGAGAGATGATAGCATCTCTAAGCTGGTCTCGTTTTTCTGTGAAGCAGCCTGCTCTACAAGAGCCCTGTATCCTGCCTGCTTTCATGGCTCTCATTCCACTCAGCATCTGTGGGCAGAGGAGCCACTTTCAGAGCTGCAAGTTGGCATTTTGCACCAGGCATGAGGCAGCAGCTCGTTGCCAATGTTGTTTGCCCTCACCTCTTTTTTTCTCTCCTGGAATTCTGCTTATGCATAAAAATGAAACAGCTGTTCTGAGTGAGAGATGCATTACATTTAATGCTGGGCTTGTTTTGAGTAGGCTCTGTCATGGATAAGAAAAGATCTAGAAGGCTGAATACAATTCGTACAGAAAAGAAATAGACAGTTTAGCTGGAGAATTTGCTGTGGTGCTTTGACCAGTGACTCTCAAATGTTCTTGAGCTTTTTAGGTTGGTTTGTTGTGGCTTTGATTTTGAATGAAGAAATGAAAATGTTGTGGGAATTGCCATCCAGTTTGGATAATCTGTACAAGCCAGGCAAATTCCTGCATATAAGAACCAATCTGACTCCCATGACTAACATAACAGCTCATTTGGAATTAATGAACAAAACTACCTATTAACATTTTCTAATGCAGATTCTGAATTCCAGGAAGTAACTTGGTCTTTGAAAAGCTTTTCATCATTTCTCTATGCTCTGCAGCACACAAACATATGCTTCACTTCCCTATTCAACTGACTCAACAAAGATAGCTTGGTTCTAAAGAATGACTTAGTATACAGGAAACTGGTTAAAAAACAAAAAAAAAAGAAAAAAAATCTGGTTGCTAAACCCAGTGTGAGGCTATGGGACAGCCTGTCTTTTCCCAGGGTGTTGGCAGCTCATATTCCCTTATCTTGAATGCTTTTGTGTCCCAATAGGTTTTTTCCATAGGAATTTCCCAGATTAGTTTACACATTTGTTAAATACTGAACTCATATCATGACTGAAAATTTAGCCTCAAAGAATGGCTGAAGATTCAAACCATCTGTCAATATCACTTAATAATCCAACTCTGGACGCTGAAAATTTCTGGATATAAAAGGTTAGCATTGAAGAAACAGCTCCAAAGTAATCCATGACAGATGCATCCATTGTTTTTTTCACACTGATAGTCCAATACTCCAGATAAATCTACATTTAGGAGCCAAATGTTACCCATTTTGAATGCTGCAATTTTTTATCAACTGATAGCCTTTTCAGTGAGGTTAAGCTGCTTATTGGGAGTTTTGTGGTTAAGTGCAATACCCACCTTCTCCTCCCACCTCTACCTTCTTCATTTAACAGGAATACTCCTGCCCTACAAAAGATCTAGGGCTACTTTTCCTTTCCCCACACTCCAGGACTGATTGGTCTGTCAAGGCACTTTTGTAAAGCCTGAGAAAATACCTCATGGTTTCTAGCAACTCTTTTAACAACAGAGTTACAGTGCAGCACTGTGTTGCCTTTTCCATTTGTCAGGGCTCATGAGGTTTCTAGTAGCTGAATGGCATTGAGAAGATTACTGTATATGTATTTTTTGATGATCAGATCAATACACGATAAAAAACACAATGAAACTGTAATTGGGCTGTTAAATGGGAATTTAGTAAAACATTGAAGAATGAAAGATTTTCTGGATTTGATTATGGTAATTGAGCATGAGTACATATTATAAAGTCCCAAGACATGTGTAATACCCTATAGTTCTGAAATCCTGTGCCATGTGCCTAGGATGGTCCTGCTTGAGCATGGAGGTTGGACCAGATGACCCACTGTGCTCCCTTCCAAATTTACCTAAACTGTGATTCTATGCTTCTGTGAAATCTGGATTTGCAGGTAGCATCAAGACATTGACTAAGTGCGAAAACTTCCTAAGAGCCTTCTTTTTTGTCTTGCAATTTTTCCCAACAGGTTTGATAGGATTCTTTATTGCTTTTGGCATTGCTATGGGGAAAATGGGAGAACAGGCCAAGATGATGGTGGATTTCTTCAACATCCTGAATGAGATTGTAATGAAGTTAGTAACCATGATCATGTGGTAAGTTTGTAGTTCTAACTCACAGAACAAAAAAGTAATTTTTAAAAAGCCCTTATAAAACCTTGCTATAGTGATGCCAGTTTGTTAGTAAACAGTGTAATTAAATAGTTGACTTTCTAAAGCCTTGGAAGCTATATTAGAACCACAGCAGCATTATTTCCATTTGGTGAGGATTATTTAGGATCCAACTTGAAACACTTCTGAAGAGATTCTGTTCTTTTTGTGCTGAAATACAACACATGCATGTACCAGCAAAGGCCTCCAAATGCCACATTGATTATGGAAGTTCATTATAGAGGAGAACACCTAAGCAAGCAAGAACAGCCCATACAAGAGTATCCCAATCTTCCTGGGAGGTTAGTATAATCCCAGGATATTACCTAGGAGGTATAATTACAAAAAAGCCTGTAGACACACATTATTCATTCTTCTTTCGTGAAAATACTTTAGCATGAAATAAAATTCCAGTACTTTTCAGTGATGTGTAATCCTTTTACTCATAGTTTCTGCAGAATATCTTACAGTCTTGCTGCAATGAGGTCACTGGAAGATATCTGCCCTGTTTTTGAAGTATACCTGTTTGTAATAATGGGGCCTGACTTGCCTTTAAGGAAGTAACTTTACACAATTAAGTCTGGGCCCTTGTTTATACTTACGAGGTGGCTCTCTCTGACTCTTTTTTTTTTTTAATGTTTCTTCTGAGTGCTTCCCCAGAGCTATTTGTGTGCCAAGCATGGCCATCTCACATAAAGCCAGTTTTCCAGAACATAAAAATGCATTGCTGTGCTTGGCATTGAACTAATGTGTTCCCTAGATCTTTGAGAGTAGGAATAGCCACTCCAACATAACACAGACAGCGTGGCTCATTGCTGCCTGGGATTCCCTGGTGTCCCTGGGAGTGATTCCTTGAGTTCCAAGGCCGCCCTCTTCTCTAGAGCTCTCTGGACAGTGTGTGGGAAGGGGAGCAGGGTGCCTGAAGCACGAGCCATCAGCGTTTCAGAGGGACACTGTTAGGGCAGAGTGATGCAGACAGTAACAACAGTGTGGGAATGTGCAGAATAACAGAAAGAACTGGAAGCCATGACCTTGCGTTCCTGATACGCTTCTGCTTTTCTGTAGATGATCTTGCTGCATAAAACCAAAGCTCTTTTCATTCACAAAGCTTTCAATATTTACTCAATCTCCACTTGATGGTTACTATACCCCCATAACCCTCCAGGAGCTAGAATTTACTCTTGCTTAGCACCATTTGGTAGAGCCAAGGCATAATACCCTGCCTACAATATAAACATTCTCTAGTAGTCAGTGTTGCAACAGCAGGAAATCTTTTAAGTTTCAAGACATTCACTGTAAATATTTATTTTTATTGATGTGATTTTTATTTCTCTTCTCATGAAAGAAGGAAATTGATGTTGGGAATTCCTTTTGTTCATCTCTGTTTAGAATTTTTAAAGATTTGTTGAGGCCAGAAGCAAGAGGGTTTTAGTGTGTGTTTATACAGAAAAAAACACTTCCTTATGCAGAGTTACATTCTGCTTGGTTTATGATTGCTCAGCACAGACATCTGCAACTCCCATGGCACCTAGAGACTGTCAGGAGCATGGCATTGCTACACAGGCATAAAACAAAACAGACATCTGGCTCTGACAACATGTAACTCTCTGTAAGAGCTGCGCTTTGTCAAGTTCATTGAAACGTGGCATTTTATGATAACTAGTATAACAGCTGGCCTTCCATTTCAAGTGATTGAAGGCTTCCAGGCCTTGGGCACATGGCTTGAGAAACCATGAGATATTCTAACAAAAACCAGGAAGCACTTTTACTCTGAAAATCATTTTCCTTTGTATTGTTCTAATGATTGAGGAGACAAAACCCCTACCCTAAATAACAAAAGTACATAATTAATGAAGAACCCATAAATTAAAAAGCATTTGTCTGAATTATTGAAAGAACCTAGTGGAAACATTTTCAGCCTTCAAGATATAAGCAGTTAATTTCAACAAATAGTTTAACTGAATAAAATAATGCAACCTCCTAAAACCAGATAAACAATGGGTTGTAAATGTTACTTTTTAAGAACAAATCTGCACCATTCTTTATAATGATCCAAGCCTGTGTAACATTATCATATTCTTGTACAATGTTATTTTAGGATTGAGAACTATTCAGGAAAGGCATATTACATTTGATAGGATGGAAAATGAAGTAGATGGGGAATTTGCTGAGATGGCCATTATTTTTAAAAAAGGTGTGACAACTATCCCTTGAATTTCCATCAGTTCTTGACATGCACCTCGCTGTTGAGCCCGAGAGCTCCCTACTCTTCTCCAGTGTGTGTTTTGTTCAGCACAGTTTCTGTGACTGCACTGCCACGAGAAGTTCTGTCTATGCTTGTTTTCTTTCTCCAGGTATTCCCCGTTGGGTATTGCTTGCCTCATCTGTGGAAAAATCATTGCAATCAAGGACCTAGAAGTAGTTGCTAGACAACTTGGCATGTACATGGTCACTGTGATTGTGGGTCTTGTCATCCATGGAGGAATCTTCCTGCCTCTGCTCTACTTTGTGATAACAAGGAAAAGCCCATTTTCATTCCTTGCTGGGATTTTCCAGGCATGGATCACAGCACTAGGCACAGCTTCCAGGTACACCTGAGAAATACCAGTGTGTTTTATTTTTTAGCAGATTATTATGTGCTGTTTAGACACGGTTCATCTGTTGTTCTGACCTTCATTGCAAAATCATTTTATGCCATTCAATGAAAACTATTTTTAATACAGCCATGTTTAAATAAAATCAAAATACCACTTGACTTCAGGATTCTCTAGGTCTCTGCTGTATCTCTGCAGAGACCTGCAGACATCTGGGAGACCTACGTTTTTGTTTTCTTTCCTTTCTTCTTTTGTTTTCTTTTCTGCCATTTGCCTAATCACTTGTGCAAATTGTGTTAATTCTGTGCTTGTTTCCTCAACTAGGAAAAGTGATAATTCTATTTATTTTGAAAGCATGTTAATACCAGTCTCACTGCATTCAAGAAAGAAAAAACAAACATTTCTAGGTTGCACAAAAGAAAGGAAAAAACCTCTCTCCATTTGTATTTTAATAAATTTTGGCAAAATAATTGGACTTCAGTGAAATTATGAGCATTTTAGACTTGTCAATGCACAGAACAGACCCAGAAAAGTCTGTAAGTAACACAGCTCTCAGTAATAAATTTTTAAAAATCAAAAATTGCTGTCTTGCATTGGGGCAGTCAGTAGATCTTGACTTGTAAATGTTTTTCAGTTAAATACCATATTTAGAAGTGTTTGCCTTCAATCAGTGTTTTGTTTCTGAAGAAAATTTAATCTTCCATTTTAATTAAAAAGGTGAAAAGAAAAAACCCAATTCAAAACAGGCCACCAGAAAACTGAGCATTCTTGATCTGAAGAATGCCTTGAAAGAACTGTAATTCAGCTGTCTCTTTGGGTCAACCCAAACCACTCTGCTGAACAGCTTCTCCCTTGATGAACAAGAGTCTCTGGGGGACCTCACTGATGTGCATAAACATCTGATGGGACATGCCAAGAAGATGAAGTGATGCCTGTTTTCAGTGGTGCCCAGTGACTGGAAGAGAGGGAGCGGGACAAAGTGAAGCACAAGAAGTACCATCTGAACACAAGGAAACTCTTTTTGCTGGGATTTACTGTGACAGTGCATGAATGCTGGCACAGGCTACCCACAGGAGTTGTGGACTCTCCATCCCTGGAGGTTCACTGAACCTGTCTGGGCACAGTCCTGGGAAATGTGGGAAACCTGCCCTAGCTGCTCATGCCTTGAGCAAGGTGGTCGAGATGGGTGACCTCCAGAAATACACTCCAACCTCAGTAATTCTGTGCTCTGTGATAAACAGTGTTGGATTATAGGAGAGCTGGTGTGGCCAAGAGTTTTCATAAATGACAATTTACCTGAGGCTTTTGTTCCTTGAAGTGTTTGAGTTTCCACTTCAGCAGTATTTTTGGATGGAGGTGGTTTTTTTTGAGCAAGTGAATGTAATGACCTGAAACATTCCCACAAAAGCAAGGCACTGTGTATCTGTGCAAAGAGCTGTTCTCTTCCACCCATCTTTTGCATCTTTTACTATCCTCCTACTGTGTTTTACATCCTTTCTTCCTGTCCTCCAGTGTCTGGGAACAACTTGGATTGTATTTTTTTGCCTGGCTTTTTCAGTCCTTAATGCCATACCAAATTCTCCATTTAGAGTGAATTCACAATCAAAGAAATTTAAAATTTGTCCTTACACTCAGAGGTCTGTGTATCACACTCAGAGGTCTGTATATCAGTGTTACAGTCTGGTTCTTAAAATTATTAGAAATGCCTCCGCCTGCATGAAGGGGCAAACAAGACTATATGCCAAAGTCAATAGTATGGATTTTATTTAATAGTAAATATGAGAGAGAGAGAGAGAGAAGGGAAGGAAGAGAGAGAAATAGAAATAGAGTGACATATCTCCACTCTGTGGATCCCACCAGCATCCTGTTGATGCTGTCCATCAGGTCTTCTTGGTGGTGAGGGTCCCCCAACAAACACAGAATCCAATGGATTACTGTACGTTCAGGCCAAGTGGGAATGGCCAGGTACTTCCCCCAGGGAGGGAGGCAGTTTGACAGGCTCTTGCAGCAGACTCTGGGTCTGTTGCATCACGTGCAATGCTGTGGTGCAGGACCTCAGCAATGAATCTGAAAAATTCATCCAGGAACTCTCAAGCTCTCATCCTACATCAAGCCACATTCATGTCTTGGCCTCAGTCCCACTTCCAGCTAAATGTAGGCCTAACTTAAAAATTGTCCAAAAAAGACTTAAATCACAGCAGAAAGTGGAAGTAGAAAATGTAACCAATGGTATTAAAATTTCTGATTTTGCTCCCTTATGTGTATGTATTATATTGATTTTAATTATGACTTCTTTGTGTTTTTTGCTTTCTCTCCCTAGTGCTGGAACATTACCCGTCACATTCCGGTGTCTTGAAGAAAATCTCGGCATTGATAAGCGTGTGACAAGGTTTGTTCTTCCTGTTGGAGCAACTATTAACATGGATGGAACTGCCCTTTATGAAGCTGTGGCTGCCATCTTCATAGCACAGATGAATGGAATTGACCTGGATGGAGGCCAGATAGTTACTGTGAGGTCAGTTCAAGAGAATCCTTTGTTTCTACATGTGAATGCTTTGGGTTGGATGTCTTCTCAGTAGCTGAGTTGTCTCACTTGGATTCAGTATGAAATCCATGGATTTTTAATAATGATATACAAATGAATGTTTTATATATGGGTCCTGGTTCTCGGGTGATGTGTTTTCTATCATTTGCAGCCATAGTGCTCGCTGGTGGTGTTTTACACTTCTGCAGCTGACAATTGTCATGGTTTAACCCCGGGCAGACACCAAACCCCACACAGTCACTCGCTCACTCCCTCACCAGCGGGACAGGGGACAGAATCACAAACTCATGGGTTGAGATAGCAATAGTTCAATAGGGAAAGCAGAAGCAGTGCCCACAAGCAAAGAAAACCAAGTAGTAAATCCACTACCTCCCACAGGTGGGCAGGTGCTCAGCCACCTCCAGGAGAGCGGGGCCCCACCACAGCTGACAGTCACTTGGGAAGACAAAGGACATCACTCCAAACTCCTCTTTTCTCCTCCTTCCTCCCACTTTATGCACTGATGATTCCACACACGTGTGGTGTGGAATATCCCTTCGGGCAGTTGGGGTCACCTCTCCCAGCTGTGTCTCCGCCCCTGCACCCCCAGCTCCCTCACCACTGTGGCTGTACAAGAAGCCAAAAAGGCCTCGGCCCTGTGTGAGCCCTGCTCAGCAATAACAAAACATCTCTGTATTATCAACCCTGTGTTCAGCACAAATCCAAAACACAGCCCCATACCAGCCACTGTGAAGGAAATGAACTCTACTCCAGCCAAAACCAGCACACAAAACAATGTCAATTGTAGTATAAGGCATTCTCTGTCCAATGAAATTCTTTTTTATTTTAGTTTCGGGGTATGCTACAACTCATGTACTGGCCATTCACTTTCTAGAATATATCTGTTTATGTACACTAGAAGAAAAAATTATACGTAAAAAAATCTTTCTATGTGTTTATATTTGCCTGTACTTTTTCTGTGACTTTGGTGAACAGGAAAAAAAAAAAAAAGAACTGAGAATAGCCCATCCTGAGGGTGAGATTGTCTGTGGCATGGTCTGGATACTCCCAGACCTTTTATCTCTAACCCAGCAAATATTAACTGTAGTCTTTTCATATCAAATTGTCTTATCCAGAAGAAAGCTGAGTATCTGTAAGGAGAAAAGAAAGTGCCCATTAAAAAAGGATGAGAGTGATTGAAGACTGTTTACTGTAAGGGAGTTTTAACTTGATGAAGACAGCAGGTCTAACATTTTGAATAGTTAAAATGGAAACCACAAGCGAAGGCTGCCAAGTTTGTCTTCTTCCTGTCGTTTTCACCCACACAGCTTTCTTTTATTAAACCTTTTTAACACTAAAGAAACTTCTTCAAAGGGATGTCTAATTCTATGTTTCTTGCCCAGCTATACTAGTTCCACACTTTCCATTTGTTTACTTCCTGCCCTGACTCCTGAAATAGTAAAGCCAAGTTTGTAAGAGGTTTTCAGGGCTGCTTCTAATGAAGGCAGATGCTAGACCTACATGATCCATATTTGCTCCTAAAACTGGAAACAGTAATTTCAGAGATGCCACATATTAAACTAAATCGAGACAAGAGAAATTCAAATCAAGAATCTGCTGTTGTCCAGGAGATTTGGTAGGCTTGAACCTGAGTTACTCATCTTCTCTTTCTCTGAGGGATTGAGCAATTGGCTCTTCCTGATCTCACCATTTCAAGGCTAGTATATCTAGCTTTGCGACTGACATTTACAAAGCAGGGAGCAACTTTGGTTGGTTTGCAAAACCACTGCTTTTCCTCTTCATGCATTTTTGCTACAGCAATATGACAAGAACTATCTCTTGAGATTACAATACAAATGAAGGAAAGATTATTAGGTTTTGTCTGGAATATACACTTTGTGATACTGATGATATTCAAATGACCCAGACATAACCTCATAAAGACTTAATTAGCCTTTGACCAGCCTTAGTTGCTTCATACTGGTCATTTCATTCCTCTGATTTTCTGTGTTCTTTGGAAAAGGGTGATTTTGGTAGCTAAGACCGGTTCTGTTTAGTTCTGAACAATTTCAGCTTAATTCCCTTCCAAGTTTGTAAGCGCTGCTGCGGGAAGGCAGGCAGGAGCATTTCCTCACAGAGCTTGCAAGGAATCCCTTACCAGTTCAGGCTGGAAGTGCCTGAGGATCTGGCATCACTTGCAGAGCCTGACAGCAGAGCAGAGCATCCTGCCTGCACATCTGCTGGACCTATTTGGGTGTTTAGTGAGCCAGGCTGCACTCTAACCCAGACACCTGACAAACACACTGCAGCCTAGGTCAGACCCAGCCAGACGGCATCTGGCAGCTCGAAATCAGGCCAACATCCTCACAGATGAGTGCTGGGGCTAATGGGCAAGTATTTCCTGTAGAGTCTGTTCTCCCCTACTTCAGTATTGGAGGCACTTTTGTTGGTGCCAAGATGAACAAACTGAAGAACACACTGTAATTAAGAAGGCTTCTCTATATTTATTTTACAGCATGCTGTCTTTTTATACTCTTTCACAAAGTTTATACTTATTCATTGGTCAGAGTAAATCCACATAATATTCCTTGGAGCAAGGCAGCCTGTCCCTCGTTTATCTCTCTCTCTCCTTCGTTTCCACGCTAACATCTTGGTAAAGCTCCTTTCAGGAGCAAAGGCGACCCTTACCAGCTCCTTCTCTGTCACTAACCCTCTCTGACTCCCAGACCAGCTGTGAGCTCCCCCCACACACTTTCACATTTGTTGGGTACGAGTGGCAGGGTGTGCCCTGGGTCCCTCCAGGAAGCCCAAAGGAAATGGACCTGCTGTGGCACAGTTCGTGCTTTCAGGTGCTAAGGCTCCACCCACAGCCCCATTTCCCACTATTTATTCCTGGGCAGCCCAGTTGTGGAACTTTTCTCTGCCCTGACTGGTGGCCAGATGAAGTCCCCCCAGAGACAGTGTCCCTCCATTTTCTGCCTCCCCAAAACCTGGCATGTGTTAGGGCTCTCAGCATGTATACAGCCCCTTTAGCAGTTTTTTACCTCATGTGTGGCATAAAAAAGGCATAAACATAAATGAAATTGGTCCCTCTCACCTGCTTTCCTTTTTATTTACCCTCCTCCTCTCCCTCTCCTCTTCCCTGTTTTTCTCCCCTTGACTTGCTCTATGACAAATTTATTTTCCACTCTTTATACGACTGCCCAATGCTGTTGATATTTGTTATGGTCCGTGTTACGTTTTTACAAACATTTGAAGCTCAGATGTTCACTGTACTGATCTTCATCAAAATATATGAGGCAAAAACAAACACAGGTTTGGATTTATGAAACAATCGGATCAATTTTGCTTTTTCATCTAGGCTGATTTGTATCTAGGCTTGGTAGAGAACTGGCTTGTATTTTGGGAGTTTTGGATACCAGACTCCTATTCTTCTGTATTTAATAATAACTGTTTTCTCTCAGCTTTTAACTCACAATTCAGTCTTAAGGTAGTATAAATAAACAGAAATCAATCACCCTGAAAATTCAACCTGTAGTCACCAAACTTTGGCATGTTGGGATGGTCAAAACTCAGGATTCAAAACCTTGGATGAGTTTGTCGAGTTTAGAAAACACCACAACACAGATTTTGAATGTCATAACTCGCTTATAGACAACCCTCTTCTAACTCTCAGAACAAACCCCAGAGATCTGGCCTCCCCTAATAAATATTTCTAGAGAAACGCAAGAGTAAAAAATATGACCTCAGTTTACCTTGATTTATCATGTACTTGTGTTTTATAGCATGAACACATTAAAAATATGACCTTCCTAATGGTCACATTAGTATGCAAGTGTGGGTTCTCTTCCTTCTATTCCCATTTGATTTTTACTTTTGCAGTTTGACTGCCACCCTTGCAAGTGTTGGAGCTGCCAGCATTCCCAGCGCAGGACTTGTCACTATGCTGCTGATCCTGACTGCAGTGGGTCTCCCTACCCAGGACATCAGTTTGCTTGTTGCTGTTGACTGGCTTTTGTAAGTTGTTCTGATGCCGCTGCTCGGTGCAGAAAAGGCAGTGAAGTAATGTTTGTCCACAGTGCTTTACATTGGTCTTAAAGAACTGTGAGTCTCTCCTGTACAGATAAACCAAAGGAGGAAATGGGCTATTCAGTAAACTAGGAGACACTGAAAACAGCTTCTCAGCTGTTACAAACTGTAACAGAGCTACTGAAGTCAGTTTCTGTGAGCCAAGGGTCTTCTTGGCACACTTGTGAGCTCACACTTCTATATTAACTCCTCCCTAATGATGCCTTTCCATCACTCAAGGGCAGTTTTCTAATCTTTGCTTTTGTATTTCCATTTGTTATAGTTCTGCTCTAAAATGAAGGATGAATGCTGAAAATGCAAGTTCCATCAGGATGTTGCCAGCAGGTTATAGAGTGATGTGGGCATTTGTAGTATCAAATGTTTTATACTTGTAGGGGGGAAAGTTGGTTTCTTTTTGTATATAAGAAAGTAAAATACCTTTAAAAAGAGCCTGTTACAGGGCAGGACAAAGACCAAAGACAAATAAGAATGAAAACTGAAATAAAGCAGGTAATTCCCTAGTTTCATTTTACTGACAGATCATTCAGACTAGAAAGAATGGCTTTCATTTCCAAGAACTTGTGATCAAAGTCCTCCAGTACCATTACAGGTCCTCCAGCAAGAAACAGCTAACCCACATATTGTTTTCTGAGGCTATTGGTCTTCAGCACTCGAATCCAGAAGCTGTAAGTACAGACAGAGGGTATGCCAGGCCACATCCTTTCTCTTGCTGTCATTTGACAGCTGGGATATCCTTCTGTCATCTGGGCAGAGCTGAAAGAGACTCAGTAGCCCTTAAGTTGTACTGGCCTCTAGAGACACTTTTGTATTGTCCTGTAGTGCTGCAGCACAGTATATTCTGGTTTATTCTGGCCAACGGCCAGCTCTCCCATAACAGCCTTTGAAGTAGTAAAGACACTTGTTTTTGTTGTTCCAGCTGTGGTGCCCAGAAAGGGAGACATAAATGTAACTGTACTATTTATGTGTTTTCTTCTACACTAGCAGCCTCAGCTGCCTGCTTCTGGTAACTTTCAGTTCCAGATAGACAACTAAAATTATGCAAGAAGAAATAGCGGAGTTGAGAATGTACCTGTGCAGATAAAATAGCTGTTTAATTTTCTGTCATTATCTCTTGGCTTATTGAGAAAAAATCATGAACTAAATCAACCCTCTGACATGTATTTTGGGTCTACTGGCATGGTCTCTCTGTCACTAAGAATTTTGAAGGATAACATGCAGCTCTGATTTCTGCTTCAGGGAAGAAAGAAAAAGGAATTTACAACTTGAGGAGGGAAAGGGAAAACTTGACTTAGATTGTTTATATATGACTGAATCTCATGATATGATGGAGAATGGTGAAATGAGAAGGTACAGCAGGCATAGGGAAGGATGTGATGTTCAGTGGGTTTATTATATTTATGATGTCATAATTGAAAACAGGAAAGTGGTATAGGAATCTGCAACTGGAAGAAGGTGAGAAAAAATATATAAAAATATATTTTAAATATCTGTTTTTCTTCACTCTCCAAGTAAGGCAAATAGGTAGGTTTCTGCAGCTGGTAGGAGGATGTGAAAAAATGGCTTGTGGTTTGCTTGGGTTTTTTTTAGGGATATATATATTTGAAATATTCCTGTGGACTGAGAAGATCTGCCTATGCTGGCAAGCCTCAGAACTGTAAGTTTACCAGCAGTTCTGAATCCACTAGTGGGTGTTTCATTTCAGCAGCATTGTCCCCACTGGCTAATCCAACCTTGCTTGAGAAATAAAAACTTCTGTACTGTGCAGCTGTAGCCATGGTGAATGTAGGAATAGGAAGGATAGAAATTCTGAAAGAAATAAGATGTCTTTTCAAAATAAATAGAAAACAAGAGAACTTTCAGCCTGAATGGTTGGGTTTGGATTCTCATGGACTACTGATCAGCAGTGCCAGTGCAGGGTGATTCAGAACTGAGAGGTAAAAGAGATAATAGAAGAGGTGAAAAGCTCTGTGTTATGCCACTGTATTTATTAATCTATGTTCAACAGCTAATATCTTCATTTTCTGTCTTCTAGTGGCTGTGTTGTGGTAGCCATAATGATCTAATGAACTATGAAAAATGATCTGCTGACATTGCTATATTAAGAAAAGGCACACAGACCAACTTCTGAGCAAGCTTTTGCACACACAAACCAGATCTAAAGGATATCTGAAACTAAATGCTGTAACATTAAATAATGTTACAGCAGTATTCCTAACAGAATGTAGAAGAGAAAGTTAATAAAACATTTATGACCCAATTCCAGCCACTTTTCTGGAACCCATGAGTAAATGCAACCAGCCATATACAAATACTTAGAACATCCTTTCAATAACATTTCAATTTCAGATTAAAAAGGTTTTAAAAAATATTCTACTCTATAAGTTTTTCGTTATTTTTTATAAAAGCAAATATCAGAATGTCAGCTGATTTTACAGTACTACCATCTGAAATTGTGGTCTTACCAAAACCAGTTTTGGATGATTTGGTCATTGTGTAACATAAAGATCACTTTATGTCAAATCCTTAAACTTTGCACTCTCTCCTTCAAACTGGAGCTGAAAGGTTTCCATGTTGATTTTTTCTCAAGCCTCTCCAGTATCCATTGGGTTGTTCAATTTTTCTACATCCCATGGATGCATACCCAGTGTAAGCTCGTTCAACCAGCCAAGTTTCCCAGGATTTCACAGTCTTTCTTCACTCTTACAGTCTCTCTTACAGTTTAAAACCAAGGACAACACAGCAGTGACATTTAATAGGACAGCAATTGTATGCCAACAGATGGAATAAAATGAGCTTATTTAGCTTGAGCCACAAACTGGGTACTCTCCAGATGTGAGCTGACAAGCTTAGCGAATATCAGTGGTACTAGATTAGTGGTATTTTGCAGCAAAGAGCGAGGAATTAGGGAAAATGAGCTTGGGCAGCTGATCCGGTACTTAAACCTTCATTCAGTAACTCAGAAAAAGATTGCTTCAGTTCTCACTCTGGGTCTGAATATTCTGAATCTAGATCTAAGCCTTGTCTTAGATCTAGATTCAGAATATTCAGACCCAGTTGAAATGTGGATGTAATGAACAGGGTCTAGACCGCAATTTTCCTATATTTGTTTTGCTTACATCATCCCACTTGCCTGGAATTAATTGGTTGATTGGTTTTAACAAAAAAGTAAGTACAATTGACTTCGTTCTTCAAAAGGTGTTCTTTGCCCCAAAAGAGGTCAGTGGCACTTTGCTGTTGATTCCTGACAGCTGAGACTTTGCTGTTTCTGTTGGAAGGAGCTTCCTTGTTTCCTTTGGATCACACAGTGTAACACATTGTGCATCAGTGTGCAGTTTGTATTGCTTTATCTCTCAGCTAGTATTACGTGTGCATGGGCTGGATCATCTCCTCAAATGACCCTTTCAGAACTTGAATTCTGCCTCAGTTATATTTATGTATTCTCTCCACCTTGGGTTTTTGGCATGTCATACTATCCCTCTGTCATCTGGCATCAGTGAGTCCTTTCAAAATTTAATACCACCCATGCAAAAAAAATTAAGTAGGTGTTCTTTTTGTAGTTGTATTGCCAGGTTCAGTGTATTTAATGTTTTTAATTAAAAATCACACCAGAAAGTCTTATTTTCCTATTCTACCACTCTGACCAGGATTAAAATAGTCTTCACAGGCATTGGATGAGACCTGTATAAAGCATTTAATTTGTGTGAAGCAAAACTGGAAGGACGTTTTCCTCCTATAGGATACTGGTTTGTTTCTCGAGGGAATTACTGTGGAAGTTTTCTCCTTCTGGGTATTCTTCTGAAGCCAAAAAAAAAAAAATAAAATTAACTGCTTCAGAAAAGATATTACACCACAAAGTCTGTAAATATGTAAGCATGATAATGTTGAGAGGGAGAGGAGAAACTTGAATGGAGCTATAATTCCACAGCTGAGAAAGGAAGATTTACTGATGTGTAGAGCAAAGATGTTAAAATGTGCTCAAAATTTGATATAGCCATGAATAAGCATGAATAATGAATGTTTGCCAGTTAAGACATTATATATTTAGATGTTTTCTTCTCGGTGTTCTACAGAAAAAGGAGATGTCACACAAATCTAGTACTAGAAATACTAGAAAGGTTGTTTTGAAATTCATCACTGTCTTGGGAAATGAGGTCTTACATGTTAGCTTTTGTCACTTGGCAAATGTCCACACTGTTCAACCTGGCCATTTTCTGTAAATGAATCTTCCTGAATATACTTCTGAGAATTAATCAGTGTAATTACTTCTCTGACCTATTTGGCAGAGCTAGACTCGGTTGCTTTCAGTCAGTTTAATTTGCAACCCTTGGTCAGAAGGTTTTTTGGAGTTTTATGTTTAGTGCAGATATGAAGAGGCAAATGAGACTAATTTTTTTTTTTTTTCCTGCAGCAGGAAAGATAGCAGGACCCAGCTCGCATTTTTGCAGAATTTTGGTCAGGTTTGGGGCAGAATTCTGAAGTCGGAGAAAACCCACAACTGTGACTTCACTGGAGCCACAAGGCGGCATGTCTGTTTGATGACATCCTGTCCAGAAAGTGCCAACAAACATATTTCTTTGTAATGAAGCATGTTAGCCTCTGTTGGCACCCTCCTACATCAAGGGGCACTCGTTAGTGAAATGCTGTCACAGGCTCATAATTTTGTAGGCCATGACCTATATTTGGGTTGCTCATATGCCAAGCTCTGGCGCACGTAGTGTGAGTGGGCATGCTGCCACACCAACAGATGGCCATCTGTAAAGATGGTGCCAGGAGAGGAGCTTCAATAGCCTCAGCATTATGGAGATATTTCAGGCCTTTTTGTTCCCCATAATTTGCTCACTGAGAGTAAAGGGACAGACCTTTTGTTAATTCAAACTAGAAATGAGAACAGCTCATCAGAATCAAAATCCTTTTCTTTGCCGCATTAAGTTCAGTGCTCTGATAAATTCAGATTAAACAAAGGGCAGGAGTGTGAGCCTAGCAGCCTGATATTGAAATCTTCAGAACAGGGCATGAGGGATCTCAGTAAAGCACAGCTCTGCAATTTGGCTGTGATCTAGCATACATTCTTTGCCAAACTCCATGAGAATAAGCAGCTGGGACATGGGAATTTGAACATCCTCCCTGTCCAAACAAGTCCCTTGGGAAAGCAAACTTCTCCCATTTCCCTTGAAAGCTCCCATCTCTCTGTTAAAAAGATACCTTAAGCTTCCTGAAACAAATGCAGTAACTGTACCATAAACAGGGCAGCCATGCCCTACTTTTTCTTCCTCTCATGCCATTCAGCCTCTGCCTTTTCCTTCTTTTGTAGGGACCGGATGAGAACGTCAGTCAATGTAGTGGGGGATTCTTTTGGTGCTGGCATTGTCTACCACCTTTCCAAGGCAGAACTTGACACCATTGATTCCCATCATAAAGGGCATGAAGACATTGAAATGACCAAGACTCAGTCAATCTATGACGACATGAAAAATCATAGGGAAAACAACTCAAACCAATGTGTTTTTGCAGCTCACAACTCAGTCATGGTAGATGAGTGCAAGGTACCTTTCACATTTATGGATATTGAGACATGTATATAGCACTGCATGCTTTATTTTATCTTATTTTTTAACCTGCATGTATTTTTCAAATCGTTCTGCAAATAACAATGTGACAACAAGGTCCATGAGCCCCAGACATTTTGAATGTGTTTGAGCAGTTCAAAAGATGGTTTTTTGCACCCTTCTTAAAACTTGTCATTTGATGGGAAAAAATCATGTACTTTGTTTACATATCAAAAGGCAAGATGCAGCGTATTATGGAATATGCCAAGACACAGAGAATATGGCATCACCTTCTGTGGACATTTACTTAATTTTTGTGGCAACAGAGAACTTAATTGCCAACCCAAATGAAGGATGGCTGCAATTCAGATGCAGGTGTTGTCACTTGCTGACTGCCTTCATGATATGCTGTTCAGAGGTCGACATGTTGAACGCACTTTAGCATGAGAATGCTCCTGCACTCACAGCACGCTTCTGCTTCTCTTCTCTCAGCCATCCTTCCCGAGGCACTAAGGCACAAACACTCTCTTCCCTCTGTAACCCTTGCTGTAACTAACATGCAATATTAATACTAATAATGATGTCTTGATCAGAGTGAGGTGAGCTTGAGCAACCCCACCAGTTGAATGCGAAGACAGCTCGGGAGGTTAGTGGTTAAAAGTTCACTAAGAACCCACCACTGGGATGGAGCTGTTTGAAATCCAGAAAGAGCTTTTGAAAAGGAGGAGAAAAGAAGGAAAACAAGGTGGAACTTCTCATTTAATAGTCTTTTTTTTTCTAATTTCATAGTTTTTTGGGTTTTTTTTTTTTTTTTTTTTGCTAACATGCAATATTAATACTAATAATGATGTCTTGATCAGAGTGAGGTGAGCTTGAGCAACCCCACCAGTTGAATGCGAAGACAGCTCGGGAGGTTAGTGGTTAAAAGTTCACTAAGAACCCACCACTGGGATGGAGCTGTTTGAAATCCAGAAAGAGCTTTTGAAAAGGAGGAGAAAAGAAGGAAAACAAGGTGGAACTTCTCATTTAATAGTCTTTTTTTTTTCTAATTTCATCGTTTTTTGGGTTTTGTTTTTTTTTTTGCACTGATTAATGCTCCAGACTGATGCTGTGCACTGTCTTTGAGACAGTGGGTTTGCCAATCAGGCTACCTTAGCCATTTATCCAAACAGATTCTCTTGTACCTTCCAGTTTCCACAACTGAGCCAGTATCTAGCTGTGAATGACTGCACTAAGTTCATTAGCAGATCACCATTTATCTTGAAAATATAATCCTATACTGTCATTTTCATTTGTCTCTGGCCTGGCTGGAAATGTTCTTTAGAATGATTTTTTTTTTTCCTGATGCTTACTTCCTGAGAATGCAGGCCAAACCTGAATTTTTAGGGGCTAAATTAATGTTGAATTCAGGGAAAAAAACAAACAGCATTCATCTTATCTGTAATTTTTCCCTGAATTTTCCAAGGTTTCAATGAAGTGATTTTTTTAAAAAATCATATTTTTTTTCTGGCACGGCTCTCCCCTTTCTCTTCAGACCCACTCTTTTTCCATTTGGAAAATTTAAAAAATAAGATCTGAAATGGAAAAAGAATACATGCTTACACAAAACTGAGATTTGCCATTAATTTATATTCCTCAAAAAAGGCAAGGACACAAGAGATTAAAAATTGAAGAAAAAAACAAACTCTCTGGAAAGAAAGATAAAGAGTATGTTCACACACACACTTTTTGGAGAACTTCTTTTGGAATTTTTTAAAAAACTGTTTTTAAGTTAAATAGACAATACTGGGTTTAAGATTATGTTTATGGAACTGAATGCTGATAGTTTTATCTGCTCCCAGTTTCTCAGATTTGCAGACAGATCCAAGTCAAGTTAAAAAATAGTAGCCTACTGATGAAATCAATACTTGCTGCACTTTCTTTTCTCCTTCAGTTTCTCATATAATTCCCCTCAGCTGAGGCAATAGCTTGCCTCAAAAGCATGGATTAAAGGTGCTGTATGTCATCCTAAGTACACCCTTTAATTCAAATTTGGGACTGGTGATTTATGAGCTAGAAATATTTAGTCTTTTTAATTGTTTTAGGTTTGCTCTGCTCACAGTCACAGTTTGCACTTTTAAACTCATGAAAAGAGCCAGGCTTTACTGGATTGAGCACAAGACTGACTCTGAGCAGGTCATTTCTCTTGTCTGTCTGCAAGCTGCCAAAAGGATGTGTTGCTATGACTTAATTGATGAGCTATGAATATATGCTGGCACTTGCAAAGCATTTGGATCATGTTGAAGTGGTCTACAACTCCCAAGTGTTAGACTTGCAAAGGCAACAGAGAGTAGGATCTGGGGCTTTGAAACAGCCAGCTGTTAAATTTGAAAAGCCATCTCTTCATCCTGTCCAATGGGCTGGTGGATTGAAAAGCTTACTGCAACTCTGGTCAGGATATGGAAAAGCTAATCTACTAGCATGCCCTTTCTATGTACTTTCTGTAATATATTCCATGTATAACACTAGTAGTTTATAATTTTGCATGGTCAATGTACATAATTAATAAGTAGTTTACCTTTGTATGGGGTTAGAGTGGTTGTTATTGCATGATATTTTTGTATTTTTTTATTATCATATTTCACGTGACTCTGTGTGATTTTCATTTCTGAATAAGCTGTTCATTCCTGTACTTGCATGTTTTCCCTTTCCAATTATCTAAGAAAAAGCTTGACTTTGTTTCAAAAATCAGTGCATTTTGTCATGTTTCCATGTCCCAATGCTTCCATGCATCCTGTTTATCCAGCATGGGGAATTTCAGCTCTGTCTTTAAGTTTTCATTTGAAGCTGAAGATGTTAACTTACAAGGTAAGTTAGGAAAAAGTAAGCCATCCATTTAGAATTAAATGAAAGATTCTCTCACTTTTGCAAGATCTACATCACTTTTGTAAAGTTAAATTGATATTTTACCTTTTTTATTTTTGATTTTTTAAAGTCGTTTGGCTGGAGATTCTTTCTTAAAACAAGGGTTCATTTATACTGGTCTCTGGAATGGAGAACATTGTCCAGTGTTCACTGTGAGTTGGTAGATCTCTATAGGTCTTTTACTATGCTTCAAACCTAAAAATTCCTGCATATGTCTTTACAGGAAAGAGTGAGATTTTGCTGTACATCATGTGAGACCAGTTTAGCATTACTGTGAATTTTTAATTGGACTGTAGTCAAAATCATTCACTACATTGTTATTATAGTGGTATGATGAACAATACTTTCACGACATGTCTTTTCTTCCATTTCTTTAAAGGTGGTGTAATTGTAGGTGAGTTTGTATAGATACACATCTATGATTATTCTGGCCTTGCATATTTTTCATGTTGTTGCATGCAAAGATGCAACTTTGCTAAGGAATTCCACTGAAAAAAACACTATTTTCTACATTAAAAAAAAAAATCTGTTTTTGGCGTAATTCAGAGAAATCTACAAGAGACAGGGGCAGAATCTGACATATTTATTTAAAAAAAACAAAACCTCAGTGAAGGTTAAGAAAATGTGGAACATTTTTCTACTACTGATGTTTTCTAGTCATTATAATAAATAAACGAACAGGAGTCTCACTATTTGAGAGTTTTGTGAATTCTGAATAAATACATTTTACTTATATAATAAGTGACAGTGTATGTAATTCATGTAAATATCATAATCTTCCATATAAAACTCACTACTTTTCTTGTCCAAGTGCCTTGGCCTTTAAGTTGCTTGTTGATGATAATTACTTGCAGGTAACATTGGCAACCAATGGCAAATCTGCAGACTTCAATGTTGTTGAAGAAGAGCCTTGGAAACGGGAAAACTAAACGAAGAGATTCCTAGCTGCATCCTTAATAAGTCCTGAAGCTGTCTTGTGGCAGAAGATACCATGATTAAGAAGATTTCTCTTTTTTTTTTTTTTTCCTATTTAACATCTACAGTTTCTGCTTAATTTTGTAACTGAAACTTAGCAAAGATCTCATCAAGTCATTGTAGTGTCTTTGCCAAGCAATGATCCATAGCCATCTGTCTCCCTTGTGTTACTGTTTGGATGATGCACCTGGAGAATGCTCCATGCAGTGCAATGCGCTCTCACCCACTTCCCCTTTCATTCAAGACACAGAGAATGTAAATGCTGCAAAATGGGAAGATCAAAGTGCCAGTACAGTTCACTACAGGGACTCAGGGTCACAGATACAAGAGAAACATAACACCACGTAAGCCTTCAAGTGTTTTGGTGACTCTTGTGGCATACCTGATCTGTTTATCGCTGTATGGCTAAAATACCTTTTGAAAACATCCGTATAGATTTCCATTTGTTTTGACAATAACAAGCACTGTACTTTTGTGCCTAGTTGTACTTTAAACTGAGCTTAGATCCGGGGCAGGACTAATGCATAGAAGTCATAAATTGTCCCAGACATTTTGTTAGATCAGTACAACTAAAACTTAGCATCAAGAGAAGACCTTCAATTTGTATATGCATGTGGTGTGGTTTTATCAGATGTCCCAGGGCAGGTACAGCCTTTCTTTTATGCTGGGACTGTGCTGCTTTGTGACCATGATGCACCATACAATACAAGGCAGTATAATTCCAGGTCACTAAAATCTATGGCTGAAGTGCAAAATACAGAAAACCATGGACTCAGTTGTGCCATTTTTAATCAAAGTAGGTGGTACCTTACTATTCACCCTGCTCCACTGTTGTCAGAGGGGTTTCCGCCGTGCATGGGATACCCAAGTAAGGTACTACTAAGATTGATTATGGATGTCATGAGCGGGTACTTGATAATGAGCTGCAACCAAGTTCTGAACCCATTACTCTTACAGAATTTTTGAATGTGATCCTCAGTAGCATTTGCTATGAAGTGAAAGCCATCTTTTGAGTCTGCCATGTTTCATAGAGTGGCTGAATCCTGAATTCATTGCTAAACCAAATTCCATATAAAGTTAAGAGAATTTGTCCAGGGTTAGGACTGAATAAAAATGAAACCAGAATTTCAGGATTTAGGCCAGTATGTTGAATTACATCTCTGTCTCTTTTGCAGAGTAATAACTATACAACTCCCTAATGTCAGAGAAACGTTTATTTGAGCACATGGCATCTGAATTAATGAGACAATGCTTGATCAACATACTATATCTGACTCAGCCTGTCAGAAGAAATTGCAGTGAGAATAAACACCTTCTGAAATTTTTTTAAAGGTGCTTGTTAATACTTAGCAATTTTAAGATACTGGTGAATACCATTATACTGTTAGCAATGTTCCATAGCAAAGCTGAGCCATGTGGTCTTGGAAGGTTCTTCTCACAGAACAAGCTTTGTGCAATTGGGGGGAGCTCTCAGAAGTTTTCAGAATGAATCAAAATATGAGCATATGGTGAACTTAAAAATGGCAAGAAACAGAGTTCAAACATTTATGGAAATAGGCATTCAGTGTCAATGTTCAGACCTGTCATGGGTCTAAAGGGGAATAATGTGTTTAATATGTAGAGTGTTATAATAACGTAGAGTGTTATTTGGCACTGTAGAAGCTATTCAAGTAAAAATATAATCTGCTTTTGTTCATCTGCATTCATATAAATATCTCTGAAACTGCACACGGACCTAAGCCAGCCAAGGCTGCTTGCATGATTGATGATGTGCAAGATCAAGTCCATTGTCAGAGTATCCCTCATTTAAGCATTTATCGTGGAATATTTTTTCTTACCACTGTATTTTTGTCATCACTTGAATGTCATGGCCAAGCAAATCCTAAGCAAAATGGCCTGTATAATTTAACCAATATTGAACCACTGTGAATTCTGTAGGCCTCTAACATGTATTAGAGGGGGAGGCCTTTCCCAAAGGCCTGCTGAAGGATCTTGAGGATTTAATTTTTTTTTTTTTTTTTTTTTTTTGTGAAGGATGGAATTGTAGATTATTCAGAGAAGTGGCAGGCAGGTTGTATTCTCTTTTCTTCAGTCATTGCTATTAGGATATCCAGAGTTAACCTCTGTCTAGCTATTGCTTTCCAAGTAGCATTCCCTGGGTTATGGGCCAGAAATGTGCCTGGGATGGTGTGTAGGTACTGTAAAATGTTCCCTACTCTGAGGGTGCTGGCTTTCATCAAGTGAAATTTGCTGTCACTCGAGGGGCAGTTATATCCAAGAATGAACACACAGCATCTACCCCAATTTCATCCAGCATTCTTGAGCTGTCTCATGGCACAGCTCACCCATTAATAAATGATTTTTTTTGTCCTCTTCACCACAGCAGTTTCTTAGGAGCAGCCACACTGATTGCTTGCATTGAAAGTAGCTTTAGAAAATTGGTCCATATACTTTTAGCTGGCATTTGAAACTGTTTAGCAGTTGGAAACAAACAGGAATGTCAGCAACATGTGACTAGGCAGCTCCACAAAATTACATATTGAGAAACACTTAGAATATGCTTACAGTTATCCACTTGGGATGTAATGCCCTTTGAAGAGTGTTTCTTTGGAAGGAGACTAGGGAAGGAAGGAATGCAGTGCTAGAGAAACCCCACCCACAAATGGGAGGATAAATTTGGATCTTTTGATAGGATTAGAATAGCAGACTGTGATTTTAAAGTGGTAATTCTGTAGATACAGTAACTCAGGGATTTTTCAAAATATAATTATGACAGTATTTCTCTATTTAAATGTGGATGTGGGAGAAGGAGAAATGTTGGGTTTCGTATATTCCTCTGCTTGTAGCCTGACTGAATATTTAATATAGTGTTACTCCAGTGCAGCACTGTATTAAATCATCAAAAAGCTTTCCATTTATGTGGGAAAATGTAACTCACTCTTGGCTTTCATTTCTCGATTTGCTCATTGCACGAGGCCGGGTTGCTACTTAACTAAATAAACAGAAAATAACCCAGGGACCATCCACTTCAGCTAATCCAAGGTTCACGTTTCAGCAGGCAGTGCTGGTTACTGGCCAGCCTCCTTTTACTTTCACTAGGAGTCTCAATGCATTCATTTGCATCTGGCAAATTTTTTGTATCTGCTCACAGTGCTGGGGTGGCAAAGTTAAAGAAAAAGCTCAGTGAAAATTCATTGGTTTCTGTGTAGTTCATATTAACATTGTTTTTCTGCATGTGCTGCTCTGTCAGTTCCCCTCACCTTTGTCTGTGCAACTGTGATATCCTTTGGCCTTTGGATTGCTGGCAGCACATTGGCACATGGAAAAGTCTAGACCAGGCAAAGACTCAGTTCATTGCATACTAAGTGACATACATGCTTACACATTTGCTTCATACATTTGCTGCTGAAGCTGGGTCAGTATTCTCATTATATCTGTTCACTGAAAGTAAAGCAGGATGTGTGTTAGATCTGCAGGAGAGATGGAGCACTCTGCCACTTCTTTCTTTATTGCTTCCCTTGGAAAACAACCTCTGCACCAGCCTTTTAAGAAATGTCTGTGGGTCTTACACACAAAGATTCTTCAAACGGGTAGGGCAAAATCCACTTAGTCCCTATTACAAGATGTGCTTTTTCCATTTGAATTGGTGAGAAACTCATTATGTCTTTGAAAAAAACTGTTTACAGTAGTAAAAACTGCGATGCTTTGACTACGTGAAAGTCCCACTGAAATCTGTGGGAGTCACAATGTTCCAGGAAAAATCAAGTCTCTTCCTGACTCTGTTAAGTTATAAGACATTTCACAATCCCATCCTAGGAAATAGTCTTTGTCTGCTATTTATAATGAAGTTGATTCTCACATGAAAAAGATTTCTGCCAATATACTTCTTTTATACCTAATTGTTTCAGTGCTACAAGTCCAGCACTGAATTTAAACTCAGCATAAAAATAAGGATCACTCTCATTACAGATTTTTCCCATGTTTTTTTCTGAGATATAGCTGATCTCAATTTCTTTCTCAAAGCACACGGAATTCTAGACTTTATGCCACTTTTAAAAGTAGGAGTAATATAGATTTCTAATTTGTTTTCCATCACTCCCAGGGCCACTAGTTTTCTGGCAGTAGACATGCAGAAGTGTAGACTGTTCATCTGAGAAGCTGAGGCATCAGCATGTGAACAGATTTATTCTGGTGACTCGCCTGCGTTTTCTTTGCTTCCTTGCCTTCATTTGTGTTATTGCAGCCTTGTTGTAGCAACACAGGAGCAGTCACACAAATCCTCATAACTATGAGCAATATTAAGCCTCCTCTCTAACATTCACCTCTCTTTCTATCTTTAAAAAGGCTCTGAGCTTTAGTACCGGGCTCAGAAGAATCCTTTTGTGAACTGTTCCTCATCTCTTTAATTTCCATTCAACTCTTTTTATTGCTGCATTTGAATTAATTTACAGAAGGATAAATAAGGGCACTTTATAAAAATGTACTGTAATATTATTCTGTTATGAGCCTGAAGACTATCTTGATTTTATTACTGTGACTTTTAAGGCCACAATTAAGATATTTTTCATATTAGCCATTATGATAGGTGTATAGTCCATTGGGACAGTTCACCTCAGCTATAATTCACCATATAAGGTTATATAGAAGCTCCTGTTCCCAGCAGAAAGCATTCTTCTCTTATTTTCTTCTCTCCAATAATATTGGTGACTTTGAAGGGAAAATATTTACCCAGTTTCATTTGCCTAAAGAATGGTATAAAGAGTGTAGTTTCAAGTACTAAAAAGAACAAAGGATTTACAGTAGTGGAGTGTCAAAGAAGGCAGTCAAGCTGTAAATGAATTGTTCAGCTTTGCCATGCTGTTTTTCAAAACGTCATGTTCTTGCTCATTATTTTCCTGAAACAATGTATTTGGTGCATATTCCTTCCAAAGTCATCAGTCTTTCTTCCCCCATGGGCACTGAGGCTGTGTCTCGCCCCTGGCAACGCACAGACCTGAGGCAGGAATCC